ATAGCTAAAATATTTGGGGATTGGGAGAGTTCTTACGGCAGACTTCCGCACTTCATGCAAGCACTCCTACGGTCAAACCCGGGTACATGTGTCGTATGGAAACACAAAGCTTTGGTGGACGGTGTATACTACAGCAACGTGGAAGTGTTTGAACGAGTGTTTTGGGCCTTTGGTCCTTGTATCGACGGCTTTAAACATTGTATGCCTGTTATCTGTATCGATGGGACGCACTTGTACGGGAAGTATAAAGGAACACTGTTGGTTGCTACAAGTATTGATGCAAGCTTCCAAGTATTTCCTCTAGCATTTGCGGTGGTTGAAGGGGAAAACACATCCAGCTGGTCTTGGTTCCTAGGTTGTATTCGGGATCGTGTCACGCAACAAGATGGCCTCTGTGTTATATCTGATCGACATCCTGGGATCATTGCAACAATGAATGATCCAAATGTAGGATTCACCCAGTCGCGAGCCTATCACAGGTTTTGTGTCCGCCACATAGCATCTAACTTGAAGACTCACGTGCGAAGTAACGACATGAGAGATATGTTCAAGGTTGCGGCGTACCAAAGGAAGGAGAGAAAACTTCAAGCTGATTTGCGTTTCATTGGTGAGGCATGTACCAAGGCCATGGAGTACATTGCTGAAGTCTCGTTCACTATGTGGTCTCTCTTTCACGACAATGGTCGCAGATATGGGATATGTACTACAAACTTCTCGGAAACATTTAACAATGTGTTGAAGGGAGCTCGGTTTCTACCGATCATGTCCCTTGTCGAGTTAACCTTCCACAGGTTTAACAGGTATTTCGCTCTGAGAAGGGAGTCTTCTGAGGCTAGGTCTGATTAGGGACTTCCATACCCCCCAAAAGTCACTGCGATCCTGGAGAAGAACACCGCAAAAGGCAGATATCATAGAGTGGATGCGTATAATCGCCGTTTGCATATTTACCAAGTGACAACAGAGAGGGGAGAGCGAATTGGTAGTAAAGGAGGCCACAAGCATACTGTTAATTGGCAGTTGAGAACGTGTACATGCAACAAACCGAAGATATTCCACCTCCCATGTTCTCATGTTCTAGTAGTATGTGCGGCGTATTCACTGTCGGAGCGGCCGTGGGTGGACCCTTTGTTGCAATCGGCCGCCTACACGAACACCTATGCACTGCAATTCTGGCCTATCCCATGCGAGACAACCTGGCCACAGTGGGCACAGTACGTTGGCCTTAAACTCATTCCGGACGGGACCATGGTTCGAGGAAAAGGTCGTCCAAGAACGAAGCGCATACGCATTGAAATGGATGACACCAACCGGCCCCCGGCCAAGTGCAGTCGTTGTCACCAGCAGGGTCACAACCGAACTACTTGTCCATCTAGACCGACGTAGGACCTTAGTTTATATTTGTTATTTGTTGTAGTAGTATCTAGTAGTGTTATTTTGAATGTTTTGTACCAGATTATCTAAAGTCTGTAAAATTGCGGTCACTTGGATGATTTATATGTACTACTTTGGCTGTTGTAAGAAATTTTCTGTCTTTGCCTTTAAATCGTTAAACCGTCCATCTTATGTTAAATTGCTAGTCCAGTTATTCTGTTGGTGTATATTATGTAACGTTTTCAATGAACAGACACCATGCACGGACAGGATAAGACACCCAGACCCCTTGACCCTTCTATCCTGACTCTGCAGGACACACATCGGAGCGTCGACATATGGAACCAGACGGTAATATTTCATCTGTTACTTTTCTGGATTCATTGATGTACTATCTAATATGACTCTGCAGGCGCTGATTTGCAGGCACTACACTACCCGAGCTCTAGGCGGCTGGGTTGTCGATGTACGATATCTTGCGTACGTCGAGTACGCTGGCTTTGGTGGTATTCATCGGGTGGCGTTCAGGGAGATCGGCCGACAGCTTGTCACTGCGCTAGTGGAGAGATGGAGGCAGGAGACGCACTCCTTCCATCTACCAGTTGGGGAGGCCACCGTTACATTGTGGGACGTCGCGATACTAACACGCCTTCCTATGCATGGGACTGTGGTGACAGGATCTGCGATAGTCGATCCAGCTGGTTTGGTATTCCGGGTTCTCGGGATGCAGCCGGGTCCCGAAGATATTAGGGGCTCCGGGTTGAGGACCGACTGGTTACAAGATACTTTTGGTCACATGCCTGCGGTCGCTGATGACATCACAGTTCAGAGATACGCTCGAGCATACCTATTCTTGCTCATATCCGGCGTGTTGTTCGGGAACAAGAGCGGGAGCCATATGCAGCTTATTTACCTACAGCTGTTAGACCACGACTGGGATCATATCTGTGGATACAGCTGGGGTAGTGCCTGCTTGGCGATGTTGTATCGCATCCTCTGTAGGGCCTCCCATAGTGGTGCAATCGAGATCTGTGGACCTCTGATCGTGCTTCAGGTAACCAACCTAGTTTTCACAAGCTATTTAGGCAATGACCACAGATCATACTTAACATAGTTTTGTATTTTGCTATTGCAGTTATGGGCTTGGGAGCACATTCACGTAGGAAGACCAGGTAGGCATGTTGTACATCGTCGAGGGCAGCAGGACAGGGATGACCAGTATGAGTCGTACATCTCTCCACCGCTCCGAGCAGCTGATGAGGCATACGGTTGCAGGTTCGTAACATTTGCCAGTCTTTTTTACCCCCCATACAGTTTCATTTTGCTAACAAACAAAACAACTTTGTTGCCATAGGTGGGTGGTCCCCAGACTCACACAAGCGCATGCGGCGACGGGTCTTCCGTACTATCGAGACGCCCTTGATCGACTCACTGAGCAGCAAGTGGAAACTTTTTAGATATTTGTAAACAATTACGTGCTGTGTATACCGTATGTGGACTAACTTAATTATAATATTTATTTTGATGTGTTATTGCAGATCACCTGGGATCCGTATGAACCGGCGTTGGTAGATGTCATGCCTGCACATCTACTGGATCATCAGGCAGAGTGGCGTGCCAGAGTCCCCCTGATTTGTTTTGAGGTCGTGGAGAGTCACCTACCCGACCGCGTCATGCAAAAGTTCCAACTACGCCAGCCTGTTCCCCAGCAATGTGACACTAGTGTATGCCTTCACGGCATTGACCATCGGGGAAAGGGGGAGACGAACTGGGCATTGGAGAATTGGCGTTTCCTTGAGCTATGGCAGCAACGGCTAGAGTTCGTCGTTGGCGGTGACCCGATGCAGGGCGATATGGATCCTCACGCTCCGTACATGGTGTGGTACAGGCGTATTACACTCCGTTTCATCAACCTAGCTACACACCACCGTCCACACATTACCAGCCAGCACATGACGTCATTCACGGATATGTGAGTTGCTTTTATTGTACTTGTCGTCCTCATTTTTTATTTTTTTATATATCATGTAACTGACTGATCGATGATTACTGCAGGCGGCGGATATGATGTCGATGTTTGATGCACTGTCACTCGCCCTTGCAGACAGACCCACCCGAGCCCAGGTCGAGCGGATGCGAGATATGTCCGTGACTTCCTTACAGAGACATGGTCACGGTTATCTCATCCACCAGCGGGACGGTCAAGACAGTGGATCCTCCTTCCAGGCACAGTTCGACCCCGGCCAGAGTAGCGGTGGAGGTGATCCTACGACACTCACAGACGCAAAGGATTACATCATCTATAGTTCTGCGCCCACCCCCACCCAGGAGGGCCCATCGTCCAGCCAGCAGACTCCCCCACCGCGCCGAGACCCATTCACCACCATTACTCATTACACGCGGCGTAGACGGAGGGCCGATAGACGGGATAGCGAACCGTTAACCTCAATAAATGAGTCGGGATAGTATTAGCTGATTTATTTGTTGTACTCGGCTTTTCTAGAATGATGTATATAACACTTATATTATTAATATAAAAAAAAAATTTGAATGAATCTGTGTGTCGTTTGAAGTTTATTTTCCTTATTTGTCCAAATCGGACTTATGTCCGTCAGAATAGATCCTTCTAGGCTGATATATATCAAACACAAGACATTTGGGCTCCATAATGAGAAACGGGGTAGAAGCGATGACTCGTGGTGGTTAATGTGGTGGTTTATGGTGGTTGTAGTGTTGTTGGTGGCTGTTGGTGGTGGTTGGTGGTGGTGGTAAGGTTGAGGCTGGTGGTGGAGCTGGTTGTAATGTTGTTGGGGGTGGTTGGAGTGTTTTGAAGTGCATAAGGGTGGTCGAAAGTGGTGGGAGGTGGTGGTCGACGGTAGGGGTTGGTGGTGGGGGTGGTGGTTGAGAGGGTGGTGGCTAATTGAAGGCTGGGGTGGTGTGTTGGAGGCAGAAATGGGGCAGATTAAAGAGAAGAAAGGCTGCTGGCTGCTGGTGTTGCAGTCCAGCAGAAAACCGCTGTCTGATTTATGTACAAAAAAAAATTGTACATAAAACGCTGTCTCAGACAGCGGTTTATGTACAACAACAAAATTTGCACATAAGACGCTGTCTCAGACAGCGTCTTATGTGCATTTGATATTTCACACAACATAAACAGAAAATAAGAATTTTTTAAAAAAAAAAAAAAGTCAAACGTTAAAACGCTGTCTGGGACAGCGTTTTACAAATTGAATTTCTTTTTTAAAAAATCCAGGGGATAAAACGCTGTCCCAGACAGCGTTTTACCCTAGAAGCTTAGTTTGGTAAATACTTTTGCCACGCAACCATTTTGGTTAATATTTAGCAAAATTGGCTTACTTTGGGGAAACAGCGTTGTAAAATTTTCATTGAAATTGCAGAATTATTTTGAAATGGGATTTGTAATTGCTGTGTTCAGCACCACTAAGATAGTGGCTGTTATGTGGAGATCAAAGTGTATAGATTCTATTGATTTGAGCTTCATTATTTGTAAAATTGCATCATATTTGACATTTGTTATTGAATTTGATTTTGAGTGGTTCCAATTTGTTAATGATGATGATCAATTGATGGGGTTTCGGGTCCTCGTATTATTGTAACAGGGACATGCTATGGCTTTTGCAACACATGACTTGATAATAAAGTACCCAATTCACAATATATGGCAGTGTAACCGGGATTCTTATGCTCGTCGTTTAAACTCACTTAATCGGGTTTCACTTAGCAAAACAAATCAGTCAAAGTGTTCTACATGGAAAAGGTGAGTTTAAATACCTTCAAGACTGATTCTGACAAGCTTAACATATTGATTGGATAAACTTAGTTGGAGTTTAACATTGTTTCTTAATTGGTAGTGTGACAATTGTGCAACAGATGTGAATATATTGACCTTCATAATGTGCTTGTACCTTATGGTGAGGCGTGGCAGAAGGCCATTGTTAAAGAGAAGAAATCTTTGATTGAGAGGAATAAAGAGTGCGCTGATACTTTGATTATGCTGCAACACCCTCCTGTGTATACTTTGGGCACCGGTAGCTCCGAGGAGTTCTTGAATTTTAATGTGAAAGATCCTCCTTATGATGTTATTAGAACTGAACGCGGTGGTGAAGTTACCTATCATGGACCTGGACAGGTACATTTTCTTCTTTAATGTTACTTGAATGTCTCTTTTCTTGATCCTTTTCTTGTATCATTTCTTTTATTGCTGAAACTTATCTTGTGCTATATGTTTAATTGTATTTATTTCTGAAAATGGTTATGCATCTATTTTTTGCTTGTTTTCATTATCAAGATTTCATTTTTGGGCTAAAAATAGAAAATATTTGTTAAGAAGATCACATGAGGGCTTATAATGTGATACCTGTAGAGAAAAAAGAAAATGTGACTGCAGTATTTTCATTCTGCTGAAAGTCTGAAAAGTACTTGAAATCAGACTTAATTGTGCTGAGTTCTGCAACGTATATTTTTCAGATCATCCCTGTCTCCTATTATTCTAACTATTTTATCTTTGACTGTAGTTGGTTATGTACCCTATCATCAACCTTCGAAATCACGACATGGATCTTCATTGGTACCTGAGGGCTCTTGAGGAGGTGGTGACTCGTGTTCTTTTCTCAGCTTTTTCTATTGAGGCTTCTCGAATCCAGGGCTTTACTGGTGTTTGGGTTGGTATGTGTCATATTCTTGATTCACCTTATTGTCCAGGTCATTTATCAATAGGGTGCATCCAGTATATTTGAGCATTATATGTATCTATGCCTGCACGGTGTGCTTGATGATGTTGGTTAATAGTGTTTGTAGAGGAACTTTGGATCTTGATAAGATAAAATGTAATGGTCATTTGACTTTTACAATGCATAATTATTCTTCATCATATTAGTCTAGTCTTTTCAAAAACCTTGCAATTGTCTACTATGAGCATAGCTTCACCTTTATATGGCGAAATATCAGGATTTATGTATAATTATTTGGAATATAGATACCAGTCTAGTTATCCCATAATTTATGTTCTTGTGACTGAAAAACCCCTTCAAGTACATTTGTAAATGGAAGGAGCAATATTATTAAGAGTTTCCATGTTACTACCTATAGAAATCTTCTCTCTAAGTCTGCCGTTGTTCACTTCTAATGCAGGAAACCAGAAGCTGTCAGCGATTGGGATACGGGTATCTCAATGGATAGCATACCATGGACTGGCTCTGAATGTTTCTGTGGACCTGACACCCTTCCAACAGATTGTACCTTGTGGGATACGGCATCGAATAGTTGGAAGCATCAAGCAACTACTTAGAGAATTCCAAGCATCCCACCATGATTCAAGCATGGATCAACTCAGTGCTGATGATCTTTTACTAATTGACATGGCCCAGAAATCACTGGTTCAGGAATTTTCTGAAGTCTTCCAACTTAAACTCGAGCAAGTGCCCAGCCAGCATCATATCTTCACAAAAAGGAAGATCCTTTGATTTATACATGAGGGAACAATGCCGCATGGTTCCCAATGTATTCTTTTATACACCCGGGTGCACTAGAGGTAAGTGCACCTTAGGGTAATTTTTGCTCATTTTATATTTTTTTGTACATTTAAATTTTTTAAAATGAGCAAAATATATCAAATGAGCAGAAAAATACCATTGGATTTACCTAACTTTAGGTGCACTCGGGTGTATTTAATAATTTCCATGATTCCTAGTGAATGAAAATTGGTCTATCGGAAGTACTGCTCCATTATGTCCTCAAATATCACAATTTCAGTACCAAGAATGCACAAAAGAGTTTGGCCATAAGCTTCTGTAATCAATGTGATTTTGGCATTCAGCATGAGCAAAGCAAAACCTTGCAACAGGGATAGGCTTTTGTAGGGTAAACAGTCAGGCTGATATTTATACAAGCAAGTTTCCTCACATTTGCTCACTAGGTTTTTTATTACCTAGTAGTAGTAGTAGTATATTTTATTGGGTAGCGGATTGTAAAATCATTTGAACCATTATATGGTACCAAATATCTCTGTAATTAACACTATGTTTGGATAGCGAAAAATATAGAGAAAGGAAGAGAAGAGAAACGAAGGGATACACCTCCTTTATTTGGATATCTAATGCAAGGTTAATAGGGGAGGAAATTGAAAGGATCCATTTTCCTTCCCCCTTTAATAAACCAAATCCCTCTTGAGAGAGATTTCACTAACTAGATGTTTTTTATTTTGTCTTTATACAGTATTTAACTAATTCCTGCTGAATTGAATTTACAAGAAATAATTAGCAAGGGACTTGACCTCCATACTGCAATAAGTGCAATTTTATTGAAATGCTTGGGAAAGGAGTCACCCAAACTTTGGCCTACGTTTTCCATCTCAAAACCAGCAAAATTAGCAAATTCAACAGAGGGGAAAAGCCCGCCCTTCAAACTCCAGTATCCAACACCAAAGTCGAAATGGTAAGTTCCTCAACGGTGTCCACAAATCGGGTTTGAGTTTGTCAAAAGGTGTGTAAGGCTCACAGTCCGCAAATCTACACAGCTAAGTTTAATTGGAAGTTTGGAACTAGAAAATTCACTTGAATGCAAAACCAGCAAAAATGTGCCCTTAAATACCAATAGAAACATGTTTGATACAGTACATTTGTCCAAGGATGAAAGGGAAATTACAACGCCGGCACTTCAGCAGTATTGCCGACACAAGAACACCGATTGTTTTGCACAGAACCTCAACTACCATGTATGAATTTTTCAAATCCAAAAAAAAATTAAAAATAAAAACCCCTCGGAATGAAGAAAAGGCTTTCTGATGTTCCCAAAAAAATTTGTCAGGGATATTATTATATAGATATGCAGGACTCTCCCAAGGGACAGCAAAAGGCTGAAACAAAGTCTACACTACAGAACTTATTTCGTCAATGTCAAGGTAAAGCACAGACAATTTCTTCTCGTCTAACCCTCCAAAGCAGACGCTCCAGAAATAATTTCAATAAGTTCAGTGGTGATAGATGCTTGACGGGTCCTGTTACACCACCACAACCAGATGATCAACCACATGAAATGGGAAAATGATGAAAAATAACATTTAATTTAGTTACTTTTCTTCTGTGAGGTCTGTTTACTGGTGGCAAAAATCAGCAACATAACTAAATACAGATTGCTTTTTGATTACTTGAGTCCATAACATCACTACAAAATTGAATGCAATAAAGGAAATTGAACCTGTTATAAGTAAGGGTGAGACGATCAAGCACTTCTCCAGCATTTCTGCTAGAGCTGTCCATGGCAGACATCCTAGCACCTTGCTCACTGCAGGCATTCTCCAAGACAGCATTGTACAACACCTGAAACAAATTAATTGATTAAGAGCGATGTTCAATAAAGATTATTAAGCAGGGTCCAAGCAAAATTGGGGAATAATTCTAAATCTCAAATAACAAGGCTAGGCTTATAGAAATTAGAAAGAATAATAGAACTTTAACAAATTACTACTGAGTACTACATGCCCTGCCTTATAATAAGGATCCCAATTATGAAGGTAAGGAAATCAATTCTATCTATGAGAGTATACTCACACAAGAAAACTGGAATTCTGCAAGATTCTGAAGTATCTCTGACTTTGTCTCTCCGCCTTCAATTTCATAAGAATCAAGTTCACCAAGAACCCCACCAGCCTCAGACTCTCTCTCAACAATCTTTACAGGAAAACAGCTTCAAATCAGTAACCAACAAAAATCATAAAATGCAATTTTCCTCCAGCTGAAAATAGTACCTCGGGAGACAGGATAGTTGCCACTGTTGGCAAAAATGACACGACAGAGCTAAACTTGTTAAAAACAATTTTCAAGGCATCAAACTGCACATTCTTCAAGATATCATCTGCAACTGCAGCCACCTACAGAGGGAAATTTAGTGATCATTCATTGATAATAAAATATATAATACTAGTAGCCAAAACCTTTCACAACTTTTACCACAATATACACAAATCATACGTATGGGACCATAACAGCTCTCCAAGTCTCCGCAGACCGGATACAGGAGAATAAACAGAAAGCCATCATTAATCAAAACCCACGACATTTACTCTTAGTACCACCAAAGCCTAGCTAACTGACATGTGATGTTTTTCAAGACATTAGCATGAGTTATGAGTTATGAGAATTGGCTACACTAGGTCCACAAACTGAAAAACTCTAAAGGAAACTGAAGAACTGAGAACAATTCGACACTTATTAATCAAGATTCGGAAAATTCTCCATCATCAAAGTAGAAATTCAAAGAGAGTAAAGGACAAGATTTAAGAAAATATACTTCAAGATGAAATTGTTTGAACATCTAGACTCCTAGGCTCCTAGCCATAATGAATATCTAATATCTCCCACCTAAACATCCTAATAAATATTTTCCTCGAAAGCCTTGAAATAAAATATCCATTTTAGAACCCACAGGCCACAGGTTTCCGGAAAACAATCAACCTTCAGAAGAATAACCTAAATGCTTGCATTACTATCATGCATGATCTATCAAAACACCAAGGAGGGGAGGTCAGGCCCATCTCATCCAAGGATGATTAACAGATACTGATTATGTGAACAGGACAATTTAGTGGCAAGTTTAGAAGAAAAATATGTATTTGAAAACCTGCGTATAATTCAGAGGATTCTTTTGCAGATCAGTCAAGCAAAGACTGATGTCCTTCTTTGAATCACGAATAAGCTGCACTTTGGCCTTCTCTCCCAAAATAACAAATTTTGTTTCTGCTTCAGGATCTGCAGCCACAAAAGGTCAACTTATTTACTAGTGACCAGTACAGCAGATCAATGCTAACAAGACAGCAGAAACAAAATACAACAATATAGGTATACCAATGTCAAGATAATTACCATCATTCAGCTTGCGAATAGCTCTGCTCACTTTGACTGAAGTGGTATTGATACCACCACAGAGACCTTTGTCAGAAGAGATTGTAACGACAACATTTTTCTTCACATTAACACCTTAAAGAGCAGTAAAGAAATCAGTTACAAACAGTTCACAAATTGAAGAGGGTAACTTATCACCAGGCACTAAGAAGTGTTAATTATTTACCTATCTGTCCTGTCTTTAAGGTTGAGATTTCCAAACTTTATAAAAAAAAAAAAAAATCAAATTTACGTAAATTCTTCTCTCTACTAGTTTTCCAAATTAGGGCCCAACAGGCAATACCCAAACATTTTCTCAATACATTTTCTCACTATCTAATTTCCATGTTATTTACCAAATGATTATCAGAGGAGGGAGTATCTCTCTATAATAGAAGTGTATAAAAAATATTGTGCAATAGAGGTCTTCCAAACTAAATTCAAAGATGGCTGAAAATAAAACCGAGGAAACCTATATAAACTTCAAGCCGATGATGTTAATGAATTATGTAGATCATCCTCAACGAATAAATAAAAAGGCCAAAGACAGAAATAAGTTGGCACCCACTGATCCACCCCCTACTTAAAGGCAACACATAGGCAGAAAAAAGCTACAATCAAGCCATCATAAAAAACAAAAACCAAAAAAAGGTTCATAATCAGACACACATCAGTAATCTTTAGAGAAACACCTAAAAGGCTTGCCAATTTTGATCACACTACTGAAGAACATATAAAAACATGTGGAAAACTAATCCAAGACTCAATTGAATATACAAGATGTGAACAATGATAATGTCGAAAAAAAATGGTGTAAATTGTACAACAGTTCCATTCAGAAACAACAATAGCCATGAATGGGCAGTTGCCTTAAAATTCAATTCAAAATCACTAGAAATATTCTCCGGTCTGTCCTGCAGACTGGAGGCTAAGCAGCAGTACTTGAGAAATTTAGACAATCCATAGATAAACGCAAATGAAATTCCATACTTGGAGTGTCACCAAGAAGTGCTGTGAAAGGCTGCCATAAGCCACGGGAGTTTTCAGTTTTTGTTTGGACTTGTCTTAGCTTTGAGGCAGCAACCATCTTCATAGCCTTAGTAATTTTCTGAATGTTCTTGATACTCTTCATACGGTTTCTAACTGCATTTATCATCCACAATATAAATAATAAAGCCATAGGTAAAAGTCCATTACAGCAAATGGCAAAAAGGTGACAATTACAAAACCATATTAATCATATGCCCTGTAACGCTCACCAATTTGAGTTGAAATGCATCGAACTCCCAAAGATGTCTGCTCCCTGGAAAATATATACCAGAGAAACAAAAAAATATACATTAATATAGCTGAGTTCCATACACAAGACGCCGTCACTTATTAACCCCAAAAAAACTATCTGCTTTGAAAATTAGGACCCGCTAGCTATAGCCAGAGGAGGATCTTGGTTATGGTTCATAGGGGCCTGGGCCACCAGGCCATGATAATTTTTTTTAAAAACTACTGTCTACACAAAAAGAATACATTGTTCAATATATAATCTGTTGTGGCGCAATGATTAAGTTACTATATTTTTATATCGAGGTCAAAGGTTAAAAGTTTAACCCCTCTAATTTTGGTCCAAGATCTGCTACTAAAACTAAATAGTATAATTCAAAGATTAACTCAATAGCCTAGAGTCACCCAATGTCAATATAAAATATGGACAGACTCAAAATGACCAAATGTTCCCCCTCATAAAAAAAACTCCTTATGATGGTCATCAAACCTCAAAAATACCATTTTCTAACTTAACCATATGGTTGTTCCTAACACAGCAATAACATAGTCCCCTCAAGGCCCAAACACTAAAATAATTTATACAACCAAATACAATACTTCCTCTCCAAATGTCCAACTTTTCAAAATAAATTAGCATGAGAGCTAAGTAATTCTCAGCAAAAGTTATCACTAAATATTCAAGTAAATTGTGAAACCCAGCAACAATTATAACCCTGCCAACATCAAAATAAATTCTAACCTCCATCGAAAACACTATCGATTACTGCAGCATTCATAAGATCACTAGCATTTTGACCTTACTCATAAAACTATAAAAGATGAAGCCACTTTAGGGTACAATTTCAATAACCCATCATTGATTTGACCTAAACACCAATACCCATTACATAAATCACTACATTATAAATCCATAAAACATTGATTTAAAATCAACAGCAACATTTAACATCTTCACCCCCATTCCTCAATTACATTTCAATATAAAATCATGAATCACAAAATGTAAAATTTAACATCAAGAATCTACCAATGAAATCAACAGAACCCCGTTTCCCATAAAACCAAAACCCTAATTTCCCGATGACATCGATCGATTTCACCAAATCAACAAAAAAGCAATTACAAAAATCAAATAAAGATCAGAAGTAAGAGATAGAAAGAGAAAAGAGATCGTACTCAGAAGAGAGGAGAGAGGAGCGAAGAACATTGATGGGATTGGGTGAAACGATGGAGGTAAAACGTTTACTCTCGCGCCTCAAAGCTGACATCGCCATTGCTGAGAAAAATGGAGGATTGAAACCCTAGCTGAATTGTTGTTGTATAAGAGAAGAGTGAAGGAAGAAAATGGAGAAGGAACAAAAATTAGGGATTTGGGTGCTTTTCTCTCTCCTCCTGGTTTTCATTCACGCATACACACTCTCTCTGTATCGAAACGCCGTCGTTTACTTGCTCAACGTATCAATTTTGACTTTTCGATTTTAATTTTACATTTTAAAATAATAATCCCTATAAGTAACCCATGACCAAAAGTAACCCCTAAATAAGTAACCCAGTCGGCAGCAACATACAAAAATTTGTGAATTTGACATGGAAAGGGAATTATTACCAAAAACAGATTCCTACTCTAGTTTCTTCTAAAAAGTTTTTGCTTATATTAAACAATATTAATAATATCTTGGTTTGGCATAAATTCATGTGGTAAATAGTGTATACGAATGTGATTTAGCTCCATGATAATGATACACTTATTGTGGTGGACATCTTATTTGTTCTTTAGAGGCATGTTATACACGATAATCTGGGTAGAATTTCATATATCCAGTTGCAAAACTTGCTATTGGATGTTCTAATTATAAGCTCTGGCATTAGTGGTTAGTGTATAGATCGTTTAGATTAATGATTAAGTAGTTAGTGGGGTTTTTTTTCTTCATAATCAAATTTTTGTAATTATTTGCATAAGTTATAATAGAGTATCTCACCACTACAATATAATTATATAAATGCTTTGATACGCAAAGGTTAGTTGTTCTAAACGACCAATAATGACTTGACTGATGCTAGTTGTAATTTTGTCACTTCTCCCCCCTTTTATTAAAATTAAAACAAATTTTATTTCATCAATTACTTGCACTTTCTTTTTATAGTTAATGATCTACTCCATGTTTATCACAATATATTGCAAATTTTCATTTCCATGTCAAATAATAACTAGTTAGACCATAATTTATCGTTTTTTATATACTACCTTTATATATATATATATATATATATATATATATATATATATATATATACTACCTTTGTTATATATTATTTTCAACAATTTAACATAAAGTGTGAGTAGAAGTGTGTAATTGTTGCAAATAATATGAAACAGAGATATTATATTGTTTTTCCATTTTTAGCTCCACATATGTATCCTTCGTATATCATTTCCTTGTTTTTGTAATTCTTTAAAATTTATAAAAAAAAAAAAAAAAAAAACCCTATCAAGCACACGAAATTTTATGTTAACCATTATACAATTTACTTTGGTCAAGAACTTTGTATTACTTGCAGGTTATATCTAAAAAATTTATTACATTGTAGTTTAACTTATTATAAACTATCAATATCCACCATATACAAAACCCGTGTAAACCATAAAAAAAGGGGTTGATTACAAAATCAAGAAGAGAAAAAAAGGCAAAATTTCGATAACTATATTATAGACCTACAATATGCAAAAACTAATAAACATAAATCAATTCATAGTTTGTAGCAAGAATCGACTAATAATTGTCAATTTCGTCTTTTATTGTGTAAATTGGACTAAAAATTTTCTTTTTTCAACATTAATCAATCCCCTACTACATCCAAAAAAAAAATGAAAAATTAAAAAGGGCATTTTCCCTAATTATATCTTATAAACTAGAATTATACAAGTATCAATTAAACTGAAATTTTGAGGTGAATGATTGATTCCTTTTACAACTAAAAAATTAAAATCTATATCAATCTAATTCGTATAAAACTATCACAAATCATTAACGTAAGGCTAAATTGTATATCAATACAAATGCTCGTAAAAAAAATCAAGAATTGGAAAGAAAACTCACTAACCTTTACTTCAATAATTTGTAGTTGTCGAGTGGTGGCGTCAGTAATGAATTTTGTGTTTTGTTGATTGTGGGAGTATTTGGTTCATGCATTTTTCCTTTGACATGGCCGGAAAAGCTGCTAATCGATTGGATTAGTGGAGCAGGGAAGCAAACAATTTTTATTTTTAATTTTATTATTTTGGGGGGAGAAAAATAAAAAGCGGTGAAAGGAATTATTGTACAAATCTAATTATGTTCAATGCTTTTGGAAGTAGTGTGCATTGAGGCTTGGACTTCACTTTTAGTCAAACACTGTTTAGTATTTATTGCATCCTTTTTTAGCAAGTCCAAAGCAATTGTTACCTCAGTGGTAGAAGAATATAAACTAGCGGGTTTTACATTACATTCTATTGCTTCGAGTTTAATATGTCTGATGCACTAAGGTCGGTGGAATTAAGATGATCGTCAAATGCAAATGTAATATAATGCTTTGAGCGTCTTCAGGTTTGATGCATTTAAGGTGAAGCAACATACAATTTTTGTACTAGTGCAACCTAAAGGTTGAAATAAAAGTGCAATATTTCCCACTAAACCAAGCAAATTGGTTAAATAACAAAATTGAACCAGCTTGATTTATTATGTTTTTATTTTGTAATATGTAAGTATAAATTTCAAATTTTGAGTATTATTTTCATTGATCTTGAATTTATTAATTTATTAACCAAATCTAATCTCAAAAGATCCAATGTATTAATTCTAACTTTAAATTACTCGAATGCTCTAAAGGCGACACTCTTCAACTTCACTTGAAGTCTCAACTAGAAACTCAATTTGACATGAAAAATGAACTGACTATAAACACGACCTGTGATCCAAACTTGATTACTGAAGTTTTGACCCAAAACTTAACATTTTTTTAGGGCACCTAAAACTTAACTTGATTTGAAATGAGTAGATCTAAAATGACCCAATGTAACCCAAACTTGACGTGAAGTCTAAACTCGACTTCACTTGATTTGACTGAACATACTTCATAATACTTGAACCAAATGCGTACACTCAAAATGAACCGACCCAAAATACCTAGCCTAAGATCCGATACGATCTAAAACTAAAACTCAATCCAAAACCCAAAGTGACCCAACTCGATTTTAACCGAAATTAGTGGTCCTTGACACCTCAAAAAAAAATCTTAATCTACATTAGTACATCATGATTAAACTAATCTCAAAATCTTTAACAAAACCTCATACGACCCGTCGTTTAGAGAAAGGCCTTAAGGCACATCATCGGCGACGAGTAAAGTATTAGCGCGCCCACTTTCCATTTTCTCTCTCTTACATTTTCTTACACCCCAACCCTAACTACCTACGTCAACTACTCTTCTTTTAGGAGAGAGAAAACTCTCAATTTTCCAGACCTTACTCCTCCTTCAATGGCGGACAATCGAGGAGGTCCCCGCCTCTCTCCGGCTACTTCAATGGCGTCATCCTCGACTTCGTCTTTACAAACTCAAGCTCTATTGTCTCATTCTACTCAGTCATTCTTCGGTTAGTTTATTACCTTCTCTCTTTTAAGTTATCCTTTTTCTGGTGATATTTTGTTGTCGTTTGTGTTTTTTAATTGATGTTTTTACCTGATTTTAGCTTATTTTTTGATTAATTGTGCCAAGAAATTAGTTGAATTGGATGATATTGAGCATTTTGAGTTGATTTTGTAATTATTTCGTACTGATTTTGTAAAGATTGTGCTGATTTTTCTGCATTGTGTTTTGTTAGTTGATTGAGTAAAGCGGCAATTGAATTGCGTTAGGGTATAATTTTAATCGCTGAGCTGTTTTCGCACTTCGAAGGTCTGCAGTGAAATGTGAAGGCATTGAGGCCTGAATTGAAATTGTGAGAGTTGAAGTTAATGGAAATCATCTTGAATTCTTGAGAACAATCATTACCTCAAGTATTATGAATTGTCGTAAAGCCGGGGTGAGATGGGATATGGTGGTCACTTGTCAGCTCTCAAATGTGGAGATGTGTGGATTTTGCAGTGTGAAAAGAAAGCCATACGTAATTACGTATAATTTGGTTTATGTGGATTTGGAATGCGAACATAGCTTGTAATCTCAATTGAAACTTTAAAAACGAAGACATATGGAGTACATGTAATTTACATAAAGATAATACCGGTATTGTTGCTTTAATGCCTTTATCTAATGAGAGTGAGGACTCTGAGCAGAAACTGTCTTGTATTATGAAAAGTACAGAGTAAATCGTAAGTTTGTAATTATAATTTGGTTTCTGTTGATTTGTCATGCGGTTAATAGTGGGTTGCTTGCTCCCAATAGGAGCTTGTTAATGAACTTATCTTCTTGTGTTTGTTAAGTGTTGTTGTGAATGTCATTTGTTGATTTTGTTTGATCTCATAATTTTGAGATGACACTGTGCCAATCTCAGATGATTGGTGTATCAGTAACTATGCCACATGGTTTCTTTTTATAATTTGATGTTCGATCCTGTTCTGGAAACAATGATAGTTTCTTCACTAGCTTGGCACATGATTGGCTTGAACTACCTGAATCTTTGGGGATAAAACATGGTATATTTTTGCTTGCAGTATTTTTTTATTGTTTTTAAAGTGTTGCTCCAAATATGATCGGAAGCTGTTGATAAATTCAGTGATAGGTAATTTTGAGTTCTGCTTTACTTGGCTGTAGTATGGAGAGAATTCTTATGGGGAGCTCTTGCTGGAGGGTTTGGTGAAGGAATGATGCATCCAATTGATACTGTAAAGACAAGAATTCAAAGTCAAGCTATTCTGAGTGGATCTCAGGTATGCAAACACACTGTCATTTGAGATCATTTTTCATTTCATATCGTGTATCACATAATAAAGCTTTGCAAAAAAGATCATAAGCCTGGTTTCACATGTTGATAAATTACATAATGTCTGTTTGATGAGTGCCGATGCATAATTTTTAAGTTATTATTAATTATCTATTTACATAATGTCTGTTTGATGAGTGCCGATGCATAATTTTCAAATTTGGTTCATATAGCCGACCCCACTTATGGGATTAAGGCTTTGATTGATTATTAATTATCTATTTACTTGCAGCACCAAAAAACTGTGTTGCAAATGATTAGAACTGTATGGGCTGCTGATGGATTAAGAGGTCTGCTATGTATTGATTTAAATTATATGTAATTTCTTTGATTTAGCATTTTATGCTCTCAACCTACTGATAACCGCTGTAGATGGTGCTAGAGAATATGTCTTGTTTTTTGTTCCTTCTTTACCCTTTTCCTTTTTTTTTTTGTTACAGGATTTTATAGAGGAGTTGCTCCTGGATTTACCGGCTCTCTTATAACCGGAGCAACTTATTTTGGTTTCATTGAGTCTACCAAAAAGTGGATTGAAGAATCACATCCTAACCTTGGGGGTCACTGGGCCCACTTCCTTGCAGGGGGCATGGGTATGTCGTCGACAGTTTGAATGTTATTGTTGCTTAATTATTTCTATGCGTTGTCATTGGCCTTAAGAAAAGTTTTTTACTGGGTTCAATCAGCTTTGCCTGAATTATTAATCATACATCTTACTTACTGGTAGAAGGCTATTATTTTAAAAATGAGGTTATCCGACCAATATGTGTGTGTTAGTTTCCCATTAGCAATTGGCAATACTTTTGAGCTACTGCAATAACATCATATTCTAATTTAATGTAAATAATAATAAAAGAAGAATTTTTTAAAGTCAATTTAAAATGCACCGACGAGGTTTATAATAGAGTTATGAGAAAAGAGAA